AAGCCAGAATTACAAACCTTCTATCTTCTGTGGTACATAGCGTTGTGGAAGTTACTGGGTGGAATTTAAATTACTGCATTACCAATCATTAAATCAATTATTTCCATCTTCAGGGTTAAAGCTGAAGATGGAGACAGTGTGTTTCAATTGGTTTGTGACAAAGCTACATAACTGAAGAAACACAGATCCACGATAATGCAAAACATTTGGATATACGCATATAACGTTCTTTTTAATGTTTTATAATTTTCCATATCATTTCTACTCTCGTTCAATGTGCAGACACATTTAATAATTAACGCTTATCGCTGAAGAACGTAGATTAGAATATTTGTAGCCGGATATTTATTTTAAATTAAATGGATCTGTTTTGGAAAATATTTAACAAAGTACGTAATAAGAACTATTTCATGTCGTAGATTTACGGCATGTAAAAGAATCTTACGAGCATGATATGAGATGTTTCGTAAGCAAAATTCAGCGGCCATTTCTCAACCAAAAGTCTCCTGATTAACTGCTAGATGGCTCTGGCAGTCAAATCAGGATTGAGTAGAAATTGTGCAGAGTCAGTGGGCTGGTCACGCGCTACTTCACGACCAAGACCAAGATACCTCCGAATAGGAGAAGGCGGAAACCTACTACAGTGTTGTAGTGCCGAGTAAGAACCACAATAAGAACTATTTAGTGAATTCTCAGTCACAAGTGTCGTCGACACCGAGAGGACATCTGTTTCATCCTCAGTGACGTCACTGTAAGTTGCTTTACTAAACACGTGCATGAAGGTCGGCTAGTGGCTCCCGGCAAGTGAGAACATTCAACTCGCTGCTACGCTTGAAGGGGCTTAACTCATTGCGGCGTGATGGACACCCACAACGACCTTGTGAATATAGCTGGATTCCCCCTTCCCCTTCTACCCCTCGTTTTCTTCGTCATACTCTTAGGTAACTGCGTGTCTGTGACCTAATAATGTGACGACTCCGTTATTAGTGATGTCAACAAAATACGTTCATTTCAGAATTAAACATCCGAAACCGAAGCTCGGCCAAATATTTTAGAATTTTGTCCGTACCGCAAAGAAAACCACGGATCACCGTTACAGAGATACATTAGTTTAAGCTGATTAAAGAATTAATCACTATTTACAGTGAGAATCATATGAAATAAAAACATACAATATTCGTAGTTACTGATTGCTTAACCAGCTAGTTACCTGTAGTTAAAACTTGGGATTAATGGGTTAATTAATATTAACTAGAAAGAGGAATTTACTTATGTCATGGGCTTCACTTCCCAATCTCAAGCGGTTAAAGTAAGTGAATACTCTTTCAGACGCTAAGCACGTTACTTAATATATATTGGAAAAGCTAACACGTCTAAGTGTCACGTACAAAATAACCAAAGCAAATACTTTAGAATGCAACAAATCTCGCAAAACTTGTCGATTTTTTTTACTAATGTATTTGGCAAAGGCAAAATGCTTCATAACTGTAGTTGGCAAATCGTGTTTGTCTTAGGTGTAGATGGGAAATTAATATTATGATTAATCTTGAAGAAATAAGGCGTAAGTGAGTATGTGGACTGAGATATGTCTCAGGAACTAGTCAGGTGGCGGGCTCTTCGGAACACAGTAAGATTTGAGGTTCTCAAGGCGGTGGGTACCAAGATGTCTGCATTGTGCGTGGGTTATAGCGCTGAAAATGTAGTCTTGCAGCAGACTACATGTCTCTACAACCCAGAAGACAGCCATCTTCGCACTCAACGCCGTGAGAACCCTAAATTCTACACTGATTTGTAATCGTAATTACACTGACACAGTCCCTTGATGTTTTCAGAGGCTAACAGTTTCGGGCTAACGAGTCCTTCGTTTTCGCGACTGCAGTTTATTGTGTAACTTTAGCCTTAATGAATAAGCCGCATCGAAAGCTGAAGGTTCTCCAGCGTTTAGGTAAACATTGCAGTAGAGATTTTCACGCTGGAGCTACCTAAGGTACGAATTTGAAACAAATCCCACTTTTAGCTGGTCTGCCTCGACGTGTTCAGACTAACAGGTGTTTTCACTGGTGGAAAGAGGTTATCATCAAGCAATTTGTCCTTTGCTGAGGTTAAACTTCTAGATAACTGATTAGAAGAGATAGTTTCCGACACGTGGCTACAAGAACAGTGCCATCCGCACAAAGTCTTAGGTCGACGTTGTGGGAGTGAGTCGATATGTCCGAATGCCTGGTTGATTTCGTTCTTCATGGGGTCACACTCGTATGTATCGTCTCATTAACTATCTTCATAGCTGTAAGTTCTGACGAGCGACAGTGTCCTCGTACGGGCTTTTCCTTCTCGGAATCCCAGAGGGTTAGTCCTTCCAGCACCTGAAGGAGGCGAAGAATTCCGAAATTTCATTATTTTCTTGTTAAATTACAAATTAGCTGGTCAGCATTATGTAGGGATTCCAGCACATCGCCGATCTGTTCATTCCTCCACTTATTCAGACTAGACGTTTCCGTTCTCAGGAAACGTTGACGTCAGCTTTCACAGCGGGTTCGCTCGTTGCTGTAAACTGTGTATTCAGTCATTTTATCAGGTTTGCTGTAAATGAGGTTATGTCACCGGCACATAACTTCCAGAGACTTCACACTGGCTAGTCGTCCTTGTTATGCCCGCTTGAACCATACGGATGAAATTGGTGTTTGGGTAGGAGTGGTCAGGGACTGCACGGGATTATTGAACATAGTGGTTGCAACATGAGCCCGCTTTATTCACTTCACCAGAGAACCTAGATCGAGCTTTCGCCTGTCAGCAACCGCCCTTCCTTCTTCAACGACATTGGTTTCGTCGCAGTTGCTGCACTTACACTACTAGCTTTGGTGTGACACTTCCCGAATAGGTAGACGTCCCCGCGTGTCACGCACCAAGGTGCAGAAACTCAGCTACTCTGCATTTGTTGACAGCGTTTCAATTGCAGATGCTCCTTCGGTGCTTAGAATGTCTTCAGCGTTACTCGCAGACCACCGAGGTCAATGAGTGAAAGCCGTTTCGCCATGACAGTGCCTCGCTCCGCCGACACCATGAAGTGTGCTGTCGGAGGACTATTCATCTCGGAGTCCTGATCCTGTCTCCACCGTCGCAGATGCATGACACTTTGTATATGAATGTGCAAGATCTCTAGCTCCTAGTGGTCGGCTTCAAGAACGCGTTTGCTGAAGTTTTTATCAACATGCATGGATTTGCCGGGAGTTAAAATGGTTGCATATTCACAACTCGTTGAGGGGCGCAGGTGCCGATAGTGAACCCAAAGCCGAAAGCACTTTCGAACACCCGCATTTGGCCCACATTCGGACTTGGAACGAATATAGTTCACACATTTTCCGTGATATTTTTGCGTAATTCCAGATGGGGTTCTGTGCGACGGGGTAAACGCCCAAGTTTGCTCTACAAACCGCGACTTTCTTCTCCCCTTGGAGACTTGAGACTCGGGAATTCTGCGTGACCAATTCGCATTTCTCTCTCTTTATTCTCATGAGAAGTGGTGCCGAAGAAATCACCGTAGCGTCTGGTGTTTCCTCAGTCGCGCGGCCAGCATACCGGGATTTCTGTTCCAACCCGAGTGCCGCTGAGTTGCTGACCACTGGGAGCGGATTGATCCTCCGTGAACGCGATGGATTTTACCACTGGGTCTTGGGCGGAAAGGTTCTTGTCCACCATTAGAGACAGTGGCCCGGGGGTTGGCTACTAGTGCTCTGGTCTGTCTTCGGCGACAGCTGAGTTTCTTCCCCCGACAGAGGTGATTTGACGCCCAGGGTAGAGGACAGACATCTTGTCAAACTCTTGTGTTATCTGTTAATTTTATTTTGTAACTTTCTTTTTCATTTATTTATTTACGTGCTGTTTAAAGCCATTATCGGAAGGTCACATTTGGATAATTCGTGAATAATAAATGTTTAAATATATATAAGAACGCTGTAATGGCGTAATTCAGGGTGCTCTACCGATATATGTCTTGGGACAGTGAAGAAAATTTTAAAAAATCTAAGTCCGGATAGCGGGCCTTAGATGTAGGATGTGACTTTCGGACTTAAGCAGCCTTGTCTTTACACTTTTCCACTTACCTCGTCATCTCCGTTGCCGAACAACAAAGAATTTAGCATCGATGTTACTTGCAACGCTGTTGCCCTCTGCTCGTGAGATAGGTTAGTGTGAGTTTACTGCAGGTTCTTGCGAGCGTTGTTTGTTTTGAAATGCACTTTCACTTATTCGTAGGACTGGAGGCTATAAAATGAATAATTGATTAACACCCTTAATATGTCTCGGCTCTTGGAAGAACATTTCATTCACGGTGTAAGAAGTGCATTCAAAATATGAATAGTCGAGGACAACAAATTTTGCTAAACAGGTTCCCCGGTTTGGGTATATTTTATTACAATCGTCGTTTTAATGTCTATTAAGCAGGTTAAGGTTTGAATCTTAGAGACCCGAGGTCAAACTCTTCCTGTTTCAAAATGTCATTTTGATAAAAAATGTATAATTGTATTTTGTTAGAAAATATATTTTTAAAGTGAAGCTTTCGCTGTGACTGAAGTTGATGAAAGACTCTCGGGCAACAAGCCATGTCAGATGGCTGAATGGTGAATGAACAATTTCTTCTGCCAATGTTTCGAGAGCCATCTCTGCTCCCATCCTCAGGGCAACTGCGAAACGAAACAGGTCCTATGTAGCTCGCTTGCAGATGGTAACACTACCGAGCAGATCTGTTCTTGAGAAGCCAAATCATTCTAGCAAACATTGAGAGCTCACGCACTTTGACATATGATGAGTGCAGAAAGGAATAACTTTACCAAATTTCGACAGAATCATTCGGACAAAACACTCTTGACTTTAGACACGCGGAAACCAATGTAAAGAAATCCGTGAATTGTGACATCGTCATCGACATCGACATCGACATCGACTGCTGCTTCTCGTCTGTTTTCGTGGTTACAGTTGCAGTGAATGTCATCTGTCTGTTTCAGCGCAAATTGAGATCATTCCGTGTAAAGTGTGCGGGGACAAAAGTAGCGGTGTCCACTATGGAGTGATCACATGCGAGGGCTGCAAGGGCTTCTTCAGGCGATCCCAGAGCTCTGTGGTCAACTACCAGTGCCCTCGCAACAAGAACTGCGTCGTAGACCGAGTGAACCGCAACAGGTGTCAGTACTGTCGCCTACAGAAATGTCTGCGCCTCGGCATGTCCAGAGATGGTGAGTTCTTACCACTAATTTCTTCTCCAACAAGGAATATATTTCGCAGTAAACAGAACGGCAAAGGGCACATGTAACTAACTGCATTGAACATAATCCTGGGAGACACTTGCATGGCCAAATTCACCATTTTGCAGGAACACGAAGGTCATTAACGTATTCACAAATGCACAACAGTAGATTCTGTCCTGAGTGAGCTTAAATCAAGTCCATCCCCTTCACAACCTACTTCTTAAACCTTCTTTTTATCCTCTCATATACACAAATCTCCCAAATGGGTCGTATGAAAAATTTTCAGAGTTTATTGTTTTCTTGAGGGCAGTGGTTTTATAATAAATGAGCAACGCATTTGTTTATATTCTACATAATCCGTTGTTCGCAGTGGAAAATAAGAAATTACTACGTCGTCTATAAAATGAACATTTAAGCTGCTTACGAGCTGTTTTTTTCCTTTCATTTATTGAAAGTAAAATTATTTGAAGGAAGTAATCCCAATTTTCTTAATTACGTTCTGTGTGGTTCTGATCTGTGTTAATTCTTGAACAACTGGCATTTTATTGTTTAAGAAAGCGTAGAAGTAGGTTATTTTACGAATTTAATAAAGATAACATGATTAATAGTTATTAAATATACATTACAGCATTTAAAGAATTTTAATTTTTACACAAACAACACGCAAATACATATTTTGAAAAAATCTTAGAGCCAAAATATGTTTATTGTTATATCAACATGTATGATGAATTTAGCAAACACAAAATAATTAAATAAATTGATACAGACAGTACAACACTTTTATTTTTCTGTTCGATGAATTTAGTTGATGTAATAAACGGAAACAATAAATAAATTGTAACTGCCAAGGAACATTTTATCGTTGTATCAAACATGCAGGTACATGTTTCTATGAATTGAATTCAGATAAATAATTGAACTGTTACAGTCAAAACAGAACTAATTACTACATCAATAACACGCAGTTTACATGCTTCGATGTCAGAATGTCTTCATTAGTCCACAGTTCATAATCGAAATATGCGTTTACTGTCTAAAAGAAATTATTTTATAATTTTTAAAATTTATTTTGACATTATTTTGAAAGATGTTCGCTTAACAACTGCTTTCAGCAAAGAAAATTAGGAAGATTAAAACACGATTAAGGCTGTTGCTTGATTGAGATTACGAGTAAAAACTGTTTAAATCAACCCCAGAAACCAAATTAAAATATGTTATTGGATGATCGTGACTCACGTACCAGTCATGAAACTGTCATTGCAGTAATCGTCTTCTCAGTGTTGCGTTGTAAGGTAATTAACCAGCTAATTACAAGGACCAGAGCATTTATTGAGAATTTAATAGTAGTTCATCTGGGCATATTCCCCGCGTTTATGTAACTGGAAGATTCATTATGAGGTGCACAATAGTTCATTGTTGGTCCCGATCCGAAGTCAGTAATATTTAATATTATCGTGATGAATACTTTAATTACATATTATATTACAAAAATCTTTCGGAATATTTTAAAATTTTTGCATCACATCTTAAATCCCACACCTGCGATAAGCAAAAACAAGTGATATACAACATTTAATAATCGATTCGGAACGTATTCCGAGTTTAAAAGGCCCAGACAGGAAATATTTTAGGAACTTGTTATGCAAAAAGTGGACAGGTTTTGTGTTTATATTTACGTGAAGTTCAGTAAGAATTCAGAAGTTGCCGTCGAGTAACCCGACTTGACGGCACCTTCTGAACTCATATCGAAACTAGTTCTGTGTTCGAGTAACTGGGTTATCGATTCTACGTCGCGCTACGGGCAAAACCTATTTCGTAAGCTTCCTGTACACTCATAAGGGTATACGAAAAGATAAGCCTGTAACAGTTTGTTGGTACCATTGACGTAGAGGTGTGTTTATGACGTTTCGGAAAATTAATTAAGGAATTCTTATATTGTTTCGCTTTGCGACACATCCGTTACTAAATCGTTCATATAGGGTATGTTAGAACTTTTGAATGTGTTAAAAATAGAAATATATTAATTTTCATATAATGCTGCCTCCATCATCGCCCTGATGATGGAGGCAGCAAGGACTTCTGAAACGCCGGTAAACTTCTACCAGACTACACGGCGCAACAACCCAGAAGACAGCCATCTTTAGATTTTAAATGAGTCTGGGATTGGGTTCCTAGCTCAGGGTAGGAGCCGGTAGACGGCTACTGTAAGCAAGGTTATGATCCTTCGTATGTCAAAAATGGTGGTAATTTTTAATTTTTTTTTACTCTGAGCGCAATGCCTCGCTTCTCAAGAAGGACTCTTTTCCATAAGTTAGTACGTCTTTAAAATTTTCTCTACCGCTCACGGTTCCCGAATATTCTGAAATACTTTCAAACGCAAAGAAACTGCCTCTTAGTAAATCCGTTTCTTTTACCTTACATTTCACGCTACATAATCACCATTTTGTATAGGGCGTTCTTAAAAGTTATGTTTTCCATCTATTTGAACCTGAGGAGTCATGACCACGGATCCTGTTCAGTTAATTTTCATCCAGTAGTCCAGCCACCTCATCTATTTCGAAACCCTTGTAGTTTTTTAATCATACGATATTTGTTCACGCATAGACCAAGTGAACGCGTCACTTATGCGCGCAACTGTACGGTCACTTCCTCCCTCTTGTAAGGGCGGTTGGCAGGTACAAAGCAGTACCGTTAGGTGCCGTTCCTCTCAGCACACAAGGAGTTAAATAAATCCCAAACTCGCTGTTTTGTGTAAGATGATGGGGCTTCAGACAGAATGGAATGCTTATGATCCCACAGCGGCAGGTACCGTCTCTACATTCTTATGTGCTGCACTTTGAAACACACGTCATTTATAATTATTTCATATTTTGGGCGAACACAGAATTACCACGAAATTATTTATATGATGGTAAGGGAAAGGGTAGAAGTTTGTTCCTCTGCACAAAACGGGTTAAAATCACAATAGTGCATAACGATTGCTGATAAATCCTTGAGAAATTTTGTAAGCTTAAAATATTTTGGAACTGTAATGACAAAAATTGTGCCTACATTTACAAAGGAATTACAAGAAACCAAATTTAGTACAGAATGTATTGTGTGCGTGTTAACTATTTAAAATCACAAAGACAGATACATAATATCATATCCCTTACCTACGACGAGGTTATCCAGTTTATCACTTTCCTTCTGAATTTACTTCAGGGATTTTGTAATCATTTCTTATTTCTCCCTAGCGTGTGACATTTCCCACGCAACTCATCCTTAATTTTAACGCCATAATATTGGGGGTCAGGTATTAAAACGTGGCTTAGAGAGAGAATTTGTGGAAAATTTAAACTAGGTAATGTAGGAACCATTTGCTAGTTTTCTTGGCGGTGTTGATTGACTTTCACGTTTTTAAAGAAATAATTTATAGTGTTTTAAGTTTCCGGAGTGTCTGTCTGGTGGAACAGTCTGTCGCGAGTAGCTAATAACTTTCATTGAATGTGAAAGTTTTTTTTTCTTGTAAAGTTTAGTGAAGGTGGAACCTGGCTGACCACGTATACTGAAACCTTCCTAATGCATTTACGGCCAGCTCCTAGTTATGGATTCCTTACACCTTCTGTGACCTTCGGGGGTGACGCCTATGTCTTGTCGGTGGTTACCACATTTCCAAATAATTATTTTCTTGTTTGTTTGTTTTTACCATTGATCCGTAGTTTCAGCTGTTTATCAATGCGAAGGTTGTAATTGTAGTTTGCTTAAGTCACAGTAAATTTGTCATCTGCCAGACCATGTGATTGTTCATAATAGACGAAACTGTGATGGGACGTAGTTTTTCAGACACTAACCTGATAAGAGTCTTCGTTATTCACGAAGCACTGAAACCAGTATCGACCAGTTATGTACAGACACAACTCTACCCTTTCGTGCAATATTTTATTTCGAAAGCCTGTCGAGGGGGTCGATTCAGAGAACTAGGTTTAGATGGGAGGTTAAACGTTAAAATGAACCTATATTGAGAAATTAGAATGTCAGGGTGTAGAGCGGATTCAACTGGTTCCTGATAGGCACCAGTGGCGGGCTCTTGTGAACACGGAAGCAACCTTCGGTTTCATAAAATATAGGGAACGTTTGAACTGGGACTTTGTTTCCACAGTTGGTAATAATTACAAAACACTGTATTTTGCAAAAAACTGAGTTAATGAGAATGATTATGAGTCTTCTGTGATGTTGCGCCGTATAGTCTGGTAAAAATGGATCGACTTTTCAGAAGGGATTATTGCCTCCATCATCAGAACCCTGATAACCGACGTTTTGGAGGCGCTTGCTGTCTCCATCGACTGTCATATTTGTCGCCATGAGAACCTCAAAACTTACCATATACAGTTGAATCCGTCGCGTTTCTAGCAACATTTGGACTGGAACTCATTGTTTCACAACAATGACCTGGCGTCACAAGAATGACCTAGACGTAACAACGACATCGGATTACATCAGTGAAACGACGACAGACGTGATGCGGCTTGAGGGTCACTTTTGGAATGCCAGTGTATTCCAGAGCAGTGGTATTCAACCTTTTTTGTTCGCGTACCCCCAGATATAATTTCTCTTCAACTTTGTACCCCCAAAGTTGTTGGTGTATAATTCAAGTTATACATAGTATATAATCTACATCTAAAATAAATTAAATAAATTACATTACTGATTATTCAGTGTTTATCATAAAATAATATATATATTTTTTAAATTTCACGTACCCCTTAAGATATCTTCGCTACCCCCGGGGGTACGCGTACCCCAGGTTGAATACCACTGCTCCAGAGAGTACACCTTTTCAATATTGTTATGTTTTTTGCAATTGCCGCACACTTATTGGTGGTAATGTGCGACGTATCTTTTCCGAAAAAAATTGTTTGTGTTTTATTTAACGGAGCTGTCTATGATTACGTCAGTTACAAGAATTGTGTTCGGATATTATGTCTGGACTACTCTACTGAGTT